CCTTCTCCAGGGGCAATGCCTGCCATACGCCATCCGGCACACGTGTGTCTTGCTGAAGGCTGGGATGAGTCGGTGTTAGAAACTCCTGTTACCAGGTGTTGGCTTACAGGCAGAGGAACCTACAGAATCCTTCCCAAGGATAATCGCCAAGGTCTTCGTTGTCCTTCGGAATCCCCTGTGCTCCTTTCGCATTAAGCTTCTTACATGCTAACTCTTGTCATCACCTGCCTCTGGGCCTGATTCTGATCCCACTGACACTGGGGTAAAGCAGGAGTAACGCCAAGAGACAGACACTAGAGTAAGTGGATCCAGATCAGGCCCCTTTTTTTCTCTTCTTCCCCTTCCCTCCCCCTTCACTTCCAGCTCTTTGGGGATTTTGGTTCTCTCCACGAACCATCGACTGCAGTTCCTCATTACAGACAATGCCTTTCGTCTACAATATCACCTCTCTCAGACCCACATCCCTCCACTGGCTTTTGTAGCCTCCCATTTCTTCTCTTTTCCTCTCCTCTTTAACCTACCCTCCATTTTTCTCACTTTTATTCTTCACTGATGGTAACCTCTCAGCTGGTTCTAGACCAGTAACGTGACAAACTAGCACTGCTCTCTTCTGGATGGAATCAGAACTGCTAGACTGTGTGTCATAGACCTGATAGTGCCAACAGCTAATGGAGATTCATCTTAACCTCAACTAATAGAGGCCTGTGCTTTTTGGAGCAGGAAGGGCTGAGTTCTAGCCCCACTGTCGCCCTGAATTTCTGAATGACCATAGCGTGTAAGGAGGCACAAAACAGAAAAGGCTAAGAGAACACTACACAGAGTGGAGAGCATCAGAATGTAAATACTTAGGGAAGGGATTTAACAGCGTCTCTTTAGCCTACCACTTAAAACCCTACTGTAAACACCACAGCAGGTGCCTGGCACTGCCAGCCTCCTTTAATACGGCAAAGGAAACTCTCAAAGCTTGATTATTTCATGCTTTACACTTCCAGGGCACCTTTCGCCTGAGGAGCTCCGAGCGCTTTACAAAGGTGGGTAAATATTATCCCCACTTCACAGAGTGGGGAACTGAGGCACAGAGAGATTCTGGCTCACATTTTCCAGACTAGACTCTATAATTTTGGGGCAGGTCTGATTCTGGGTGCCCAAGTTTAGACACCACCCAAAACCCTAGGCATGGTGACTTCCCCTCCCCCCACATGGGGGGGGGAGGAAATGGGGTACTGCTCTCTCGACTTCCCTTCTCCTCTTCTAACCAGGCAACATCATCAGCCAAACCGTTTGGTAACAACCCCTGAGGTCAGGTTACTGCGCTGCCTGTTGGGGATCTGGGATGGATTATAAATTAGATCAGAAATGAAAGTGAGTTTCACTCAAAGCCAATTGCCCAGTGGACATTTGTTCATGTTCCAGGCCTAGAACTAGACCCGCCGGACATTTCTATCCTAAAAAAACCAAGCAGGAGGATAAAAGCAACTAAACCCAAAAATCATTCAGTCCAAAAAAAGGGCACAAACCCTTTACTGGCTGCTTTAATTGGTGCTGCTGGTGACTCCTGTAGAAAGCTGTTTGCCCTCAGTTTTAGCAGAGCTGTTGTGGTTACTCACAGCACAAGTAGCGGCAGCGTGCGACCCGCATTTGCTTTCTGGATGCATTGCTACAGCATGTTGCTACACACCCCTATGCCTGGAGCATGACAGCCCAGCTCCCTTGCACACAGTTAGCTTAGTGGTGTCATTTAATTCACAACCAACCTTGCGCAGCGTGAAGCCATTTCAGATGAGCATCAGTTGCATGGAGAAGCTACAAAGCTCATGCGTGGGGGAAGATAATCCGTTGTCACATACGCCCCACGTTGTGTACATTTCAGTAACAAGCTGACGGGCGGCCCACACGGGCACCGTCACAGGCGCTAGGATTGCAACTCCCACGCTGCTACCAGGACCAACAGCATTGTGACAGCAACCGAAAATCCCCGACGCCCGGCTGGCCCAAACACATATGTGGAGAATATGTGATTGGTGTGGGTGCCAGCTGATGGCAAGGCACTTGCACAGACTTGAGCAATGAATGAAGACTTTATGCGGTATCTCAGCTTCCGATGGGCTTGATCCTGCAAGGTGTTGAGCAGACACTTACCAAGTATCCTCAAGTCCCGCTGTCAGTGAGATTAAAGGTGCTCAGCACATGGGCAGAGACTGGGGGGGCACTGCCCCCCCCCAAACTGTATACCAGTCCCGGTGCAGGCAGCAGAGGCTCATGCTGACTGCAGAGTGCCCTTTCTGCACCAGGGCTACAGTGAGTGACAGAGCCCTGGTCAACTGACTTGGGCTCACAATACAGGGCTAAAAATAGCAGTGTAGATGTTCTTGCTGGGACTGGAGCCCGGGCTCTGGGACCCTCCGCCCTCCCCCAGGTTTCAGAGACTAAGCGGGAATGTCTCCACTGCTGTTTTTAACCCCGTAGAGCAAGCCCAAGTCAGTTGACCCTCACTGCTGCAGGGTTTTCTTGCAGTCCCCTGACGTACCCTGAGAGCCTTTCCATTGATTTCAATAGGTTTTGGATCAGCCCCATGTGAGCTGAATGGGAGCGCCCTCCAGCAGAACTGCCAGAAGCTGTGCTCAATATGTCTCAGATACTTATCGCTGTGTTTTAAAAGAGCTAGCAGCATTTGCCAGGATAGCTGTAAATTAGTGTGTACTAGTAAAGCTAGGCATATAAGCCTCTGTACGAAGCCTCACGGAAACTTCACTGTCAACTCTATATTGGTACAATAGTTGTCTGATTCAGACTGGTGCGGAGCATCGTCACCTCCAAGTGACGCCAGTGACACCGCTCTGTGTGTGGAGGATGGAACCACTGACAGCACGCTTTCCAAACACTGAAACAGCTACCACTAAAGGTTGGTCTTACTTCGTTTAAAAATGTGTACTCCGTATTCGGACCCCCATGTGATAATAAAGGGCCAGATTCTGCCGCCGGTGCTTATGTTGCATAGCACTATAGTCATGACTAGCCTCGTGGATAATGATGCATGGCCATACATAGCCCAATATAATAATACAGTATACTCCTATTCATCCAAAACCCTGTTATGCAAACCTCTGCATTATTCAAATCCCTTCTTTCTCCCCTGTGCAGCTTATGCTGGGGGGACAAGGAAGCGATTCGGATAATGCAGTGGCTTGGCTATAGAGCAGAGACCCCCAGCCAGGAGTGTGAGGAGGAGGAGCCCCTGGCCAGGGAGGAGGCCACCCTACTGCTGAATGGTTCCTGCAGCACAGTGAGCAGCCTGCAGCCCTGCTGTCACAAGACTGAGTGAGCAGGGCAGAGCAAAGACCCCTGGCCAGGACTGCAAGGAGGAGGACCACGCTGCAGGGGAAGTCACCCCGCTGCTGAATGGCTCCTGCCCTCTTGATTATCCAAACTCCCAGATTATCTGAACAAAATCCAGGTCCCCCCTGCTAACCAGATAATCCAGAGTGTACTGGCATTCACTGCACCTATATAGACCCTTCCGTTTTAGAATCTCAATGCACTTTGCAAAGGTTGATAAGCAGCATCACTCCCATTTTACAGCGAGGGTAACTGAATGCTGTGCATTTGGTTTTGTTTTCGAATATAGGCCAATTCTCTGTACCTTCCCATCACCGTCAGTAGAATTTCACAGAGTACAAATCAACCCCGAAGTTGGCCCACTATTTTTTCTTCTTGACAGGACAGAGCTTCTCTGCCAAAGCCACTAGAAACAAACAGCCCCAAAGGAAGTATTGTGTGTGCCTCCTTCAGCGTGAAAAGTGCAAGTGTTAGTTGCTATAGGACTCACATTGAGACTGTATAAATTCACACTCCATCTCATCTCACCTTTAAATTTGTGTTCCCACCATTTCCTCCTGTTGGGGTGTTTACATACATGCTCTGCCAAAAGAGTTGATGTATATACTTTTTTTTTTTTTTTTGCTGCCCCTGATTGTTTTGGAGAGTTACCTATATCACAAACCTGAACCAGACAGCTGTACTTGTCACTGGAAATTCAGCTAAGTCCATTCAACAGGATAAGCCATAGACAAGAAAGACAGACTACTCATGGGAGAAAAGCTGGATTAATACCTATCCTGTTTAAAATCTTTTCAAATACTGGTTATATTAAAATGCTTTTAAATGGATGTTGAAAAAAATATAAACACTTTACAAAATTATACATTTCATCCAAACCATCGTTTCTCATCGTCATGCTCTGTAAACGTCTAACCATTATAAATACACACGCCTTCCAAAATGCTGTACAGCAGCCAGACCACAAACCTTTTGGCACCATGTACCCTTTGAAAATGTACATTGGCTATCTGACATATGTAGCAAAGAGTGACTCCTGGGAGGGAAAATAAACCAGATTATGGCTCAAAGCAGAATTAGGGAATCGAACTCATGGGATAATGATTTTTATCCCAGTGAATGATCTAGTTAGAGTGGCCCTCAGGGGAAAAAAATAAATAAAAAAACCTTTCCAATAGGAGGCATAGTATAAAATTGCATGATTCGAGGAATGAATGTTTTTTGTGGCTGTTTTTAATATCCATATTAAGCACCCCTTCCCGCTCTGTTTTAATACAATGCCTCTACGACTCCCATGATGCAAACAGTGCCATGTAACAGGTTGCCTTCCTCTGGAGCCTGCAGAAAACGAGGACGCTTGCCTCGAATCCTTCAGTAACACCAGAGCAGGAAAAAGAGAACTAAAAAGGATTTCGAAACACTTAATAACCAGTAAGTCACACAAGTGCCCTGGAAGACGCTTAATTCAACAAACGAGCATAAATCATACGTAATAACAAAATGCCTCTTAACACCGTGCCCATCCTACTGCCCCCTTGATTAAGCCATACAGGCGGCAAATATTTTACAGATGTGTTTAGGGGTCCTAAACAGAGGTCTACAATAGATAGTGATGTTCATGCTATCGGGTAGGATTGCTATTATTTTTTTCAAGACCGTGTTACCTTTTTCAGGAATGCCATTCTTGGCCTGTAATGCTGCCCTTGGTCCACCCGCTTCACAGTCATCGTGAGTCAAGGCAACAGCCACAAAGAAAGCAAACTAAAAACCACAAAACAATTAAAAGCCAGATTTCTACTCAATTGCAGGGAAGCTGACAAGCTGCTGCTGCTGCTGCTGGAGACTGGAGCACTCCCCAGTCTAGAGACTAAGGACAGCGGTTGAGCAAACACTGCTCCGCCACAGCCAATCAACAAGCAGCTCCGAGGAGCTGATTTGCATGGCCGGCCGGCCTCAGCGCTTCCCACCTCTCAGCGCTAGGGGGAGCTGGCCTGCACACACAGCGAGGAGAAAGGCTCAGGAGTGGGGGGGAGAGGGCGTGTCTTCAGCCAATCAAGTCTTTCCAGAGTCTCAACGTTCCAAACCCGATACATTGTTGCATGCTGTGGAATGCCAACTAGCCACCTCAATGTTTGATGATATTTTAAAGGATTTTTTTTAACTTGACACCATGTAAAAGAGATTTAATCAAAACTGTCTTTCAATCAACATATTTTGCTGCTGTATAGTGATAAAGAAGTTGCTTTAAAATACAGTCTAAACAAATAAATATTTCTGCCCAGGGTTAACATTTCATTTCTAAAAAATTAATCAGCATTTTCAGTTGTTTAATAAAAAGTGCCTTTGCCAACATTTCTGCCGAAGTGTAATAGGAAAGTATTTTTAAAATCAACATTCCTGATGGTGTTTAAATGTAGTAAGTTGTGAAAAAGTGAACATTCTTACTGTTTACTGGAAAACATTTAAAAATATTTTCTTTGTTTAATAAAATGTTTTACTACTACTAACAAAATGCCACTTTGTATTTAGATCATTTTTCTTATTATTCACGTAGTACTTCTATATAAACACCACTCCACAGAAAACAAAAAAGACAAAGAGTTCCCTTAAAGAGTTCCCAGTCAAAGGGCCCAATCTGGCTCCAACTGAAGGCAGTGGCCAAACTCCCAGTCAGTTCAGAAGCAAGGTAGGGTCCTAAATCAGCCACATACAGGGGACAACAATTAGGTTCTAAGGGCTGCAGCCTAGCGAACACTTAAGCATGTGAGAAACGTTACTCACGTGAGTAGTTTCATTGAGGTCAATAGATCTAATGATGTGAGTAAAGTTACTCATGTTTGGAAGACTGGAGCTTAAAATCATGAAGGGATAAGGTTGATGAAATCAACAGATTTCTAGAGGGCCTGATCCTGTTACAATGCTGAATGTTTTCAACTCCACAGACGTTAACAGGGGTTGATAGAAAGTGATCCTTGCAGGATCAGGCTCTTAGGGCTGTGTCTTAGCTGTATCTTAGCTGACCTCAGTAGTAGGTCGCGCCTCAGGAGAGGGAAGGGAAGGAAAGGGACCCAAAAAAGAATGAGGCCAGGTGAGTACTTAGGAGAAAAGAAAAAGTGCAGAGCAGTGGAGTCATCGGGACAAAACATGGGGACCTCAGACAAAGCCCACTCCGAGATCATGTCAAGGGAGTCAGTGGATGTCACCAAGGGAATTCTGCCCAATGCATGCTTGAATAAGCACTCCAAAAAAGGCCCTACAATCACACAGAGTCTCCTCATGATTGAGCTTCCTCCTCCAGGACTGATTGATGGGCGAATGGTGTCTGACTGACAGTACTGCGGACTGAAATCCTTCATTTATCCAGACAGGTACAATGGAGCAATAGTCATGCAAACTTCCTCATCTCTCCCAAGTGATGCACTTCAGCCCTGATCAGGAGGGACAGCCTCTGTGGCTGAGACAGAGGAGAAACCTTGGTGCTATACGAAAACAATAATTGTGCCAGGTTTCATATCTAATACATTTCACAGAAACACCTGCCATTCATGAGGCCACATACTCCAATACATGCCACACACACACTCACCATAAATGTGCCCATACACTCACCACTCACATGTGCACTCATCCATACATATAACACATACACCAAGCACATGCACATGTATACACTCACGATAGACACAATCACTCACACCACGCCATGTGTGCATACACCCACATCCACACTGCAAAAGCATGTACATATCACACACATTAATGAATATACACTATGCACACACTCCTTTGCATGCACTCACATACATGCTACACCTCCACATACATATCATACATGCAAATGCCAACACACCATACATGAGGATGCACCCACAAAGAGACCAAGCACATACATACACTATACACACATATGCACACCAAACAGATGCACATATACACTACACTACAGTCAAACACATCTCTCAGCATTACACTCTTTTGTGATTTCCATGACATCACGGCTCCTACACTTCAGTAAAGTACATTGGCTCTGAACTCATTGCAATGTTGTCTCTCCATTAACAGCCTAAAGGCACTAATGACCTCCTCAGTTGCATTGCAGCTCTTCGGAAGCATCTGAATGAGCAGGCTTTCCTCCCATATCCTGTCTCTACTCATGAAGATTCCCATGGGAACTGCCTCCCTTTTGCATCTCTCCCAACCAGATGACAGTCAGCATGCTTGCTTTACAGGTGGTTTTCCTCTGGAATTCTCTGCTTCCTGCTGCTGCGTGATTTAATGATTATTAATGACATCTGTAGTTCTGCCTGCGAATGCGAGGGGAAATAGATCTCTGACTTCAGGGCATTAGCTGATTGTCACGGGGTTCAGGAGGGATTTTTTTCACCCATTTTCATCCTCTCACAATTGAATTGTCTCATTGTTGTTTTTCCGAAAGGAGTTCATCTACTGGCGATCCTCATCAGTTGACAAAAGGACAGAAAATCTAGCAGCACAGAAATCTCCTGAGGACAATCAGCAGGAGAAGGAAAGGACTTGAGTAGACTCATGCCTGGTCTACACCTAAAACTTAGGTCAACCTAGCTACACTGCGAAATTTCACACCCTGTGTGACATAATTAGGTCGACCTAACCCTTGGTGTAGACACAGTTAGGGCGATGGAAAAATTCTTCCGTCGACCAAGCTACCGCCTTTCGGAGAAGTGGATTACCTACCTCGATGCAAAAACTCCTTCCGTTGATGCAGGAAGCATCTACACTACAGCTCTACTGCTGCAGCGCCATGCCTGTGCCACTCCAGCCGCTACAGTGTAGACATGCCCTAACTGAAGTGGAAGAGTAGTGAAGTTGTCTAGTCATTTCGAGGACTATTGTTAATGGAAATTATTTGGTTTTCCAGGAAGAGATACTTCAGGAGTGTTCTATGCCTGTATATACATAAATAGATAGAGCTAGAGCCACAAAGGAACATAGCTGCTGCAGCGCATAACTTTTAGGTGCCTTGCCACCCAGTGGAATACACAGCCCCAAGCTAGGCATCCAGGCTCCCTGTACCCTGCATGGAGAGAACTAGGAGCCTAAGAATGTGGTCCACAAAAGCCAGTGTGCTGAGCGGGGAGCTGCCCAGGCTAGCCAGAAAGAAATGCCAAGGAGGGCGGTGTTGCCTAAGCCATGCCCCCTTAAGTGACTTAGGTGCCTACTTCTGGCCCAGAGGGAGGCATCAGTCTCTGTTTGGGATTCCGAGCTGTGAACCTTCTTCTGGGACTAGGCACCTAAGCTGCCAGTTCCCCTCTTGTAATGTTTAGCCCCATGGTTAGAGAACGCACCCAGGATTTGGAAGACGGGGGTTTAATTTCCCCCTCTGCTTCACGCGGAGAAGAGATTTGAAACTTGGGTCTCCCTCCTCCCAGGTGAGTGCTCTAACCACTAAGCTATGGGGTATTCTGGGCCATGTCTCTTTCAGCCTCCTGTTGAAGCTGTTCCACTGTAGATAAACAATTAAATGTTAATTGGCTCAGAGGAATTGGAGCCTCCCCCTTCCCTCCATCCCCTGGTGAGTCCAGCAAGAGCAAGACAAGAATAGGTTTAGTTAGCAGCAAGGGAGATTTACACTGGATATTAGGAAAAACTGTCTAACTCTACGGATAGTTCAGCTCTGGAACAGGCTGCGTAGGGAGCTTGTGGAATCCCCATCACTGGAGATTTTAAAGAACAGACTAGACAAACATTTGTCAGGGATGGTCTAGGCCAGGAGTAGGCAACCTATGGCACGGGTGCCAAAGGCGGCACGCGAGCGGATTTTCAGTGGCACTCACACTGCCCGGGTCCTGGCCACCGGTCCGGGGGGCTTTGCATTTTAATTTAATTTTAAATGAAGCTTCTTAAACATTTTAAAAACCTTATTTACTTTACATACAACAATAGTTTAGTTATGTATTATAGACTTATAGAAAGAGACCTTCTAAAAACGTTAAAATGTATTACTGGCACGCGAAACCTTAAATTAGAGTGAATAAATGAAGACTGGGCACACCACTTCTGAAAGGTTGCCGACCCCTGCTCTAGGCCTACTGACTCCTGCCTCAGTGCAGCAGGACTAGATGGCTGCCTGAGATCCCTTCCAGCCCTACGTTTCTATGATTTCACACCATTAAGTGCTGATCTAAGGGTCCCACTGAGGGACACAGCCATCCTACTAAAGAGTTCACATTTGAAAACTGGGGCCATATGTAGCAGGAGTTCCCAAACTGGTCTGCAGATCTGCTCTGTTCCAGCAGAGACATTTCCTCACCTCATAGAAACCCAGCCCAGGACTCTTTCAGGGTTTCTAGAAGTTTTCTGACTGGCAAAACTAAAATCTGCATGCATCTCTGTGCCCCCCTGCATGGCTGCTTCATGTCTTCATTTGTCAGGAGTCTCTGGTGTAAATTCAGCTGAGATCAGCTTTGCAAATGACACCAAAGTCAGAGAGGTAGCAAGCACACAAGAGGTCAGAGATGAACTGCACGGAGACCTGTTGAGATTACAGCACTGTGGGCTGCTGGCAACATGAAGAGTTTCGATACTAATTGTGGAGGAAGGCTAGTGACTCCATAGTTAAGGTTGCAGCAGGATTTCTCTTTAAAGTCCAATTTAAATGTAAGGGCCTAAAACTAGGGAGAGGAAATAAACTACTTACACACCAAACAATTCTCTTGATTAGGCATCAACAGATAATGATATTTCCTACCTTACATTATTAAATGATGACACAATTACTCAACCACCATTAGATCCTACTC